GCTACTGCTACTGCTACTGCTACTGCTACTGCTACTGCTACTGCTGCTGCTACTACTACTGCTACTGCTACTGCTACTGCTACTGCGACTGCCACTGCCACTGCCACTGCCACTGCTACTGCTACTACTCCTGCTACTACTCCTGCTACTACTCCTACTACTCCTACGACTCCTACTACTCCTCCTACTACTACTGCTACTACTACTACTACTACTACTGCTACTACTACTACTACTACTACTGCTACTACTACTACGACTACTACTACTACTACTACTACTACTACAACGACTACGACGACTACGACGACTACTACGACTACGATGACGACTACTACGACTACGATGACGACGACGACGACGACGACNNACCACCACCACCACCACCAAATTGGCAACTCTGTAGTTGTAGGGTTCACACGTGAAGAGCGAAGGATAGCGAAGGACTTGGTCACCACTTTGACGCTCACATTTCGGGTTTCGAAACGCTCCTAGGCTCCGAACTTGTAGCATGCCCTCGGTTCACCATTCGGCCGCTCGGGCACGTCGGTGTGGTCTCGATATCACCGTGCCGCTGTCAGGGGTTTTAGAGCTTTGCACAGTGGTTGGACATCGTGCTCCACAGTGCTGCTCGTGTTTCATGGTTTTCCCGCGCTGTCCGGGGGCCGCTTTTGCCTTCTGGCCAAATTCTGTCCATGCAGAGCTGTTCTCCTGCGAGTTACGTAGTACGTCGCATCAGGTCAAGACTCGAAACTTGCTGGGTCCAGGACCTGCAACTTGGTTTGCCTCTGAGCAGGATGTTTTGCGTGTCACGACAGGAGAGGTGTGTCAGTGGGCAAACTCAAACGTTGACGACCGTGTGCAAGCCTGATGGCCGAGCGAGCCAATCTCCACGCGAGCCTCAGACTGCAGTCACGCGCAGTGATTGCAAAGGAGAGTGCCAGCATTCCGCAGCAAAGGCTAACGTGCTCGGATTTGCGAGTTTGCTGGTGACGGGCCCAGCTCGCTTTGCAGCACAGTCCGGGGTGGAGCGTGCTTTGGGAAGCGCGCTGGCGCAGTTGGTGCCATCCTCAGCAAATGCGGCCATTGCTTCGAGATTGGACGAAAATCGAGAAGAGATAATGTGCAGGAAACAAGTAGGTACTAACTGAAGGTTGCCGCTTCCGAGACACACGTCACTGTGGAGATTCGCAGCAATGGCACATGGCAGCGCAACATGCTGGAGAACACGACACAAGCTTTGCATGTGCCTTGGCCAAATTCCGTTTTCAGATGGATAAGACCAATCAGATTCAATCAGTAACGACGGTTCTCGGACAGGCGATGTTCAACATCTCCGTGGTTGGCAATGCGAGCTCCGACCCCCTGCAGAGTGCGATTGCCACCAAAGTGATCATGGAACAGGCCAACAGCAGTCAAATCACCCAAGCCATGAACTCAGCACTCGTGGCACGAGGCAGGTCGGAACGGCAAATTGGGGAAATCAGGAAGTGTGTTTGGGTTTCGATATGTGTGTGTGTGTATGTTGATTTTACTTGTACTGTTTAACGAAGCAAGTCAGTCACTAGGTATTTCATCTCTTTCTGCTTCTATTTTTGGTCGTTGCAGACAAGGTGCAACAGAAAGTAAGTGAGCAAAGGAGTAACTTCAGTATAGTGGTTAAGGAAGGAATGAAGCAAAGAGCATGTGAGCAAGGAAGTGAGTGAGTGAACATGTAAGTGACCTAAGTGGGCAAGTAAGCAAGTAGGCAAGTAAGTAAGTACGGAAGTAGAGTAGGCAGGCCGATTGGTAAGTCAGTAAGTGCGTGCAAAGGTGACTTGATGGCTGAGTGGGTGTCGAAGTGAGTGAGTAGGGTGGAGTAGGTAGGCAGGCAGGCAAGTAGGAGGGCAAGTTAAGCAGGGGAAGTAAGTAAGCAACTAAGTAAGTAAAGTTTGTCTTTTTCGAACAGCTGCACACTAGTGCCCTGCAGGTTTGGAGGCCTCCGTTCAAGCAGCGGATCTGACGGTAAGTCCGGGCCTGCAGAACTTGACCGTTCAAGGGCCCTCACGGCAGGAGCCGAGAGTGTGATCGGTGCACGCCTTCACGGCGAGGGATGTCTGCAATCAGGAGTTCTATGCGCTTGTCGCACTCCTGCGGAAATACAAAGACTACCTGAATGAGGCCAGACATATATTCAGCGAGCAACCATGACAAAGAAGTCAAGCACGTCATGCCCACCTCGGCATCATGGCAAGAGCTATCCCGAAGTTAAGACCCCCGTTACTTCAAAGCCTGCTCTTAAGTGCGCCTTTCCAACGGATCGAGGTTGGAGCAAAACCCAATGACAGCTTGGTACCCTCCCAATTTCATACAAGATCTCCAGGTCCACGCGGACCTCCAAGAGGCCCAATCTGAGATGAGCCTTCAGAGCCTTAAGCAGCAAGCCTATGCGAACTTTGTTCGTGTAGCCTGGACTTCTTGTATAACGAATATGACGAGATGTCGGATAGATGCTTTCTTGCGTCGGTCGTTCCATTGTGCTGCATCATGTTATAGTCCTACATGGCCTCAATCGTTGGGTTGGCCTGCCTCGCGCTATCATGCAGTAGTGCTTTGTAGGTGTTGATCCCGTAGAATCGTGTATTTCTTGAAGTGCGACTGGGTTCACTTGAACTGTCTTGTGTCGAGGAACCTCTCAAGGGAAGAGTTCGCGAGCATCAAGGCCAAGCACATCTCCGCTCAGCAGCATATGTCAGGAACTTAGTACTTAAGCTTCCTTCATGATCTGGCGCTCGGAACCTCTTTATCTCCGTACTCGGGTCATCTCGAGGATCATGGAATGCTTAGCGCTCTACATTGTAGCACAACTTTAGTACTGGAAA